TTTTTTTTTTTTTTTTTCTTGAGTAAGTTGCTAATCAGAAGCCAGGAAAGCTTGAAAACTAAAATTTTAAGAGTTGTTTCCTGACTGACGGCCAGTTTTAATTTGTTTAGCTAGAAGTATTTGCCGGGAAAACCGGTGCCGGTAGCAACAAAAACTGTGGGAAACTATGCAAAAAAAGTATCTTCGTACGGGCAGCCCGTGCGTTGGCCAGTTATTATGCTTTTGCCGTGCAGCGCTTAGAGCGATTTTCATCCTCTCATGCACGGGACCCGGACTTGCGTAAAGATTGGTACTACGGTTCTGGGGTGTCACATGGCCGGGGAACTCACTAGCAAAATTTTGGCGCCAGAGCTTGCTTGGTTGCCGAGTCGAAATAGGCGGACAGACGAACACACACACATACACACACACACACACACACAAACATACACACACATATACACATATACAAACAAGGTCGTTGCAATATGCGTTTTTATAATTTGCATGTAAGCAAAAACGCATAACCAGTTCTGATCAAAAATGATAACTAAATATTTCGAAAACTTCTCAGACATATTCAAGTTTGCGAAGCGCAAAAAAAAGGAACAGAGGGTGAATGCCCAATTCTTCCAAAAAATCTGCATCAAATTTTTTTTTGCTTGTTCAAAAAATAAAGGGTCTTTTTTGCATGTTTTACTTAACTGCGTATTATTGGCAAAAGGTTGTGCTTTACTTAATTTGATGTTTGTATTTGTTCGTTCTTGATTTATTCGGTTGTTCAGCGATTGTTTTTTGAGTCACCTTATTCGTGTTTTTTATGAGGGTGAGTTAGTGAATGAATATATTCTTTCAAAAACTGCTATCCAGATCACTCTTATGAAAATTTCAAATATGCAGTCACCCGTGCCTTGATAAATTGCAACATTTTTTTTATAAATTTTCACAGACACTTGCAGGAAGTAGAAAGTGCTTAACAAACTAAGTTATTCTCTTGGCGTCCTAAGGAAGAAAACACATTTCCAACAAAATTATCAGCTCAAAATATACTGTAATTAGCAGAGTGGCGCAGCCAAAATAGTTTTAAAAAGGGGTACACTAAAATATTTTTAGGAGCACACTGGTAGACAATCTAAAGAGCACATCACTAGATACTTTATTTTTTTCAACTGAGATTTCAGCAGTAGGTTGCGACAACATCCTGAAGAAGCACTCGATTAACGAGGCGTTGATGAAACAAACACAAAGTACGTTCATCATGATTCTGAGGAAATGATAAAACAGAATAGGCAGAACTGTCGAGGCGCTGCTGGTATATTCTATGAGAAAAAAAAAAATACATTATTGAAGAAGCTGGGCACCAGCCTTTTCAGTTCCTGGCTACATCGATGGCTGAGCACAGTTGTAATCATTGTGGGGGTGGTGATGGACGAGGTGGAAGCTCCGAACGAAGAAAATCACGAATTTTTTGCTGTTCCGTTTCGCTTAAGGCGTTGAAAATTGCTTTGACCTGATCGACCTGCTGCCGTACAGTTAGGCCCGAATTTTTTCCGATATCTTCCATCTTTTGCAAAGCTGATTTCTCTTGGGCTGTAAGTGCTGTTGTTGATTGCGTATCCTTGCGAATTTTTTCCGCCAGATCTTCCATATTCTTCTTCATTTCTTCAAAAGCAGC